GTTGAGGGCTGGGGATGTGACCATGTTTCATGTATAACCCTGAATAGGGGTGTAACATGAAACTTGGTCAGAAAGATGGAGTCACTCAACAGGAAATTAGCTTTAACAAACCCTCACTGACCTCTGTAGCTGCAGGCACTGTGGAGCAATTGATTCTCATAATTCACAGAAGCTGTGAAATCATTCAAGTCATCCCCTCGGTGGCTCAGCGCAACCTATTCTCCCCTCCCAGAGCTCCTGATTTGCATTTACATTAGATGTTAGAAGCATAGAAGGCTGCCAGCTATTCGCTGCCGAGACGGGGGAGCAGGTTGAGCTGAGTTCCTGAGAGAATGACTTGAGCAACTTGATTGCTTCTGTGTGGATCGTGAGCAACAAACACTATGTCCAAATGATAAAAACATACACCTAATACAGACATAAAAAAGGAAGACTGTGGTGTCCTCTCTCCCCAACTCCAGCCTGCTGAATGAACAATGAAAGAGCAGCCACAGGCTGATGAGGTCATCTGTCTGCTCACTCTGCTCGCGCCTTCTATCTGCATGTTCCTAATTAGAACATTTGCATGCAATATGCCTAATTGGCTCCCAGCCATGCCCCTCCCTCTTCCAGTCTGCTGAATAGTACTAATACCAAATTCAGGTACATATAATAGTTACATGTAAAAGATACATTTAATGATTTATGAATGAATACCTAGCTGCATTAATTGGTGTCTTTTATATCTGCTTGGAGCCCAGCTTGCCTGGAGCTGAAGTAGCCATAGCGGCAATACCAGAAAGTCAGATATTACTTCAGTAAACTGTAATAGTATAAGAATGACGTCTTACAAGGTGGACTATAAATATATTGTGGGAGGAATTTATCATAACTGAAGCAGACAGAATCTGGAGCAGTTGCCCATGGCAACCAATCAGCTTCTCTGTTCAGTTTTTTTCAGTTAAGCTTTGAAAAGGAAAGATAGAAGCTTATTGGTTGCCGTGGGCAACTGCTCCAGATTCTGTCTACTCCAGTTTTAATAAATTCCCCTCTACGCTTTGTATCAAATACTTCCTAAAATGTGTGGAAACATAAATGTGTTTGAAATAATTATAATAAATTTACTATAGAGCAAAAAGAATAAAAGTGATGCATCCCTCTAAAACAAAACCAAAAAAAATTAAAAATTGCGCCAGAGGTAATTAATTCCAGCGCACTTACTACCTGATCCCTGGTATTTGTCCAGCCGTGGCCTAGCATTAGTACAGATTACATGCTCAAGAGTTTTCCAACTCCCAACGCCTGTGCGCACGCCACATCACAGTCAGAGTTCCATTTGAATGGGCTGCCACACCCATCCAGACACAGAGAGAGATACCAGACGGTCTGGTAGCCAAAATGTTGGCCGGTGGTATGACCAGCACCTCTGGCTGCCCTCTCCGTCTCTCTTCCAATCCCTGCCCTTCTATTATCTTGCATGGCTGGACGTTTTCATCCTTTTTTTGCTGGAGCAGCAATCTAAACACTGGTGGATAAGCTGTCCCCTTGTTCCCAGCCAGAAATAATAACCCTAGTGATCTCCAGTAGGCTGACCTACATAGCTCTTTGGCAAAGAATTTTCCCCATTTCTTTTTTTTATTTGTTATGTGGGTTCAGTTAGATACTTCTCTAAAATGGATACAGAAGTTTCAACATCACTAAAGAATCAAAAACTTTTGCATAACAGGAAACAACATTTCATTTTTTTTCTAAACGTACAGCAGAGGATTTATAAAGTAACCAAGCTGAACACTAGCAGAACTTTCATGAAGGCATTGGGGAGTGTTGCTGCAGATAACTTATGGCTGATAAACACATTTTATATGTACCAGAGTATTTGGCACCAGTACAGTACTTTTTGGGACAAGAGGGTTAGAAACTATTTTTTAACCTAATTAAAGACTAAAAGCTCATACATTGGTCTTACCTAAGCCATCAATAATATGATATGATTGATTCTCTGTGCAGAGGGCTTCACTACAGCCAATTAGAATTAATCTTTCTTTGTTCTTAGTGCTCCCAATGCTCATAATTGAAACTCTTCTTTGGCTGCTATTGGTTACTACATCCCTTTGCTCTTTGAGTTCTCCAGTGCTCTTATTTACTACACCCCTTTGCTGTTTGAGTAATTGGGTGCTCTTATTTACTACACCCCTTTGCTGTTTGAGTCATTGGGTGCTCTTATTTACTACACCCCTTTGCTGTTTGAGTAATTGGGTACTCTTACTTACTACACCCCTTTGCTCTTTGAGTTCTTGGGTACTCTTAGTTACTACACCCCTTTGCTCTTTGCGTTCTCCAGTGCTCTTAGTTACTACACCCTTTTGTTCTTTTGAGTTATTGGCTGCTATTGGTTACTACACACCTACGCTCTTTGAGTTTGTGGTTGCCTTTGGTTACTACAACCCTTTGCTCTTTGAGTTCTTGGCTACTCTTAGTTACTACACCCCTTTGCTCTTTGAGTTCTTCAGTGCTCTTAGTTAGTACACCCCTTTGCTCTTTGCGTTCTCCAGTGCTCTTAGTTGCTACACCCTTTTGTTCTTTTGAGTTATTGGCTGCTATTGGCTACTACACCCCTATGCTCTTTGAGTTTGTGGTTGCTTCTGGTTACTACAACCCTTTTCTCTTTGAGTTCTTGGGTGCTTTTAGTTACTACACCCCTTTCCTCTTTGAGTTCTTGGGTGCCCTTAGTTACTATACCCCTTTGCTCTTTAGCAGCGTCCGTTAACTCGACTATAACTTTGTGGCCACTTTTTCAGTTCAAGTCTTCTGTGCACACTTATAGTTCTCTGTTGCAACATTAATTAACACTCTCATGGCATGGGTCATTGTCATTACAGTCATTAAGGGGTTAAATGATCAATCCACCCAAGTAAGACATTTCAGTTTTGCCTATAGGGTTGCAGTGGTGGGCATGTGGTCAACGTGGACTCTGGATCCCCATTTCTGAGGAACTATAAAGTGATCCAACTCATCACCCTCCACCCATAACATTCTCATTGCAGGGGTCATTGTGTGAAGGTGTATAACAGTCATGAAGGGGTTAAATGATCAATCCACCCATGCAGGACATTTCAGTTTTGGTTATAGGGTTGCAGTAGATGGGTGTGGTCAACATGGAACTTTACCAAAACGATCTGGACTCTGGATCCCTCTTATGAAGAATCAGTGATCCAACCCATCACCCTCCACCCATAAATAAAATACTACATTACAGTGGAATTTCATTCTTAATTTCAGAAGCTTTGTACTTACCTTTCTCTGAGTCGCTGGAGGTCATCATTCATGTTGTCCCTGTCCACTTCAACTCTGGCTTTCTCGTTGGTGAGGAGGTCCACTTGCCTGCGAAGGTCCCTCATCTCTTCTTCATACAGATCCCCGACCCTGGAGGTGCCCTTGCCCTTCAGCTGGTCCAGCTCAGCCAACAAGATCTTGTTCTGCTGCTCCAAGAAGCGGACCTTGTCAATGAAGTTGGCGAACCTGTCGTTGAGCTCCTGCATCTCAGCCTTCTCGTTGGTCCTGTTGGCTTTGAACTCGAGGTTGATGGCATCTGCCAGGGTGAAGTCTACGGAGTCATGCATCCTGGCTGGGGGAAGGCTGCTCCTCAGCCTGGCCGAGGAGGACTTGTAGATCGCTGGGGAGGAGGAGGTGAAGGACACCCTGCTGCTGGACAGACCGCCGCCGCCGCCACCACCACCGGAGCGCAGGGCGCTGCCCAAGGAGTACCTGTTGCTGGAGGTGACATAGCGGCTGCCGGAGGAGCTGGATCTGGGGTTACCCCCAAACAGCCTCTTGTAGGATGAAGACTTCACAGACATGTTTGTTAGCGGTGCTGTAGGATATTCTTGTAGCTGGAACGGTGCCCTTGTGCAGACCAGGCAGTGCTATAGCAGGAGAGAGGACTGGCATCCACAGTGGTTTATATACCCGGGTAGATAACGGTGCTGAAGGTGACCAATCCAACCACTGACATCGGAGGACCATCACTAATTCACCGCCAATAGGAAAGCGCAAGGCTTGGCCGCTCCCCTCCAGCTCTGAGCTCAGCATCCAAATTGCCTTTTTGGCAGCACAAGAAAACTTTTTGCAGCTGCTTCACTCTTCTGTCTGGTTTTGCACACAGAAACTTCCATGACTTACTACAAACCCCAAAAGTCTAATATGATTTTCCTGTTACTCCTGGCAATGAAGGAGCCTTTGCAGAGATGATCAGCCCATGACACTCTGCTCAAATATCATTTTCTTATTATCTTACCATGAGAAAAGTCACAAGATATGTGTTATCCTCTAAGGAGGGGAAGTGTGGCTTTCAGCCTGCAGAGGAGATATAAAATTGAGTTGGAGCTTAAAGTTCTACCCAGCTTTTTGTTTGGCAAAAGTTATATGGCAAATATTATTTCAGTGACAAAATGTTTGGACCACATATTGTGCAGTCCATACTCGTACGCTGACAGGATGGATCCTGGGCGGCGTACGGCCGCGTACTCCCATAGAGAAAGACAGGGGCTGTGTGTTAATCACACGCAGCACCTGTCCTTCCCGGGAGCTCCCCGATACGGCCGTGCACGCAGCACGGAGCTGTAAGTGCCGGCTTTTTCTCATGTGAATGAGGCCTTAAAACTCATGCAGATCTGGCCTGGATTTGGTGTGAACAAGCCCTCAAAGGGATGGATTTTCCAGACTCCACAACCACATATAACTAGGTATAATTAAAAAGTCATGGAAGCACAAGATCAGACACCTCCAGTCATGTTTAAATTAAAACATGGCTTCCTCTTTACATCAGTGTGCACAATACAATGCCGCTAGTGACAAATGGAATTGCATTACAAAGGGAGCCATTCTTTCCAGCTATTGCACTGAGTATAATTCCATGGTGGAAGCGTGAGAAAGCGGGAGTGCTTGTCAGGGGAGGAAACAGATGAGGCATCCCTCCCCGTCTCTCTCTCCCTCTCTCTCTCGGGATCTCTGTGCAGCTACTTTTATGCGTCTCTGTGCTGAGAAGCTCCTTTGTGTGGTGGAGCGGCCATGGGGTCGGGACGAAGTCCTTGTAAACCATTGAAGTATCGCACAAGTGGCTGCCTATTGTGCTCCATCCTAACAAAGCCATAAACTGGACCTAGGAGGGTCATGCACTCTTACAAATGAGATTTCTGTAGTTGGGTTTTACATAAAACGGTTTTGCGGACCAGGAAAAACAACTTGTGACTGTTACGCGTGCTCTGAGCAATAGCCAAAGGGAGGATGTTTTCCATTTTCAAATAATTACATCACCCCCATTAGATTTACTTTTTTTTATAGGAGGGTGGAGAGGAGCACATAAAGTCATCAGGTCCTTCAGATCAATCAACTATATAATTCATTCCAAATACATCTGTAAGCAGCATTCATGGCAGAGTCACATGACGCATTTAAAGGAAAAGTGCACTTTAAAACAAAAGTGCATTTTTCCTTTTTGCCTCAGATGGGCCAAAAAAGTATTGAAAAGAAAGTGACATCACTAGCCACACCTCGTCAATATTAGCCCAATAATCTTTTTTACTTTAAAGCAGGGGTAGGCAACCTTGACACACCAGCTGTGCAGAAACTGCAAATCCTATCATGCATCTGTCTCTGGGAGTCATGCCTGTGGCTGTTAGAATCCTGCAATGACTCATGGGACTTGTAGTCCCACAACAGTTGGAGCGCCGAGGTTGCCTAGCCATAAATTTAAGGATAAGTGCACTTTAAAACAAAGCACATTTATCCTTTTTGCTCCCCGTTCCCCTTACTTAACCTAACCCACCCTCCCCCCTCTATAATAATGCATACTCATCTGGATCTGATTGCCGCGGTTCCAGTGTTCGCTTACAATTGCAAGTCTTCACTGTCCTGGCCGCGCCTGTGCACGTCAGCCCCATAGACCCCAAGTGTGAATGGAAACCATCTGTCAGTGTACTGATACTGCCGATACACTCTTTGTCACAGTAAACTCTGATTTATGTATAAAATAGGAATTGACTGGTTGTGGTAGAAGGGGGCGGGGATTTAAAGATTTTATTTTTGGATGGAGTATGGAAGTGTTAAAACCCCTGTCTGTTTATTTTTTGCTGATTTCCCTTCACTTCCTGTCCTCAGGATGCAACAGGAAGATGAGAGGAAATGTCTACAAACTAAATGGACTTCGCCTCTTAAAACATCTGTCACTAGAACATGGATTCCCATTGCAAAATGTCACCTCCATCTCCTGTTCTGCAGTCCATCACGCCTCCCATGGAGTTACAGTCAGAGCTCTAGCTGTAAATCAGTGAGGGGCATGCAGGACTGCTGCAGAGAGACCACTGTTTTCACCCACATCGCAGCCGATCTATCTCATGCTACCTGTGCCTTGGATCAAGAGGTAACACTTTACTATGTATAGATCACCTCTGGCTGTTAGAGACAGTTCTTTCCTCGGACACATGACGACTGCTGTGTAGGTTATACTGCATGCTGATGCTATGATAGCACTGATCATGTCAATGTTCCTACACTGTACTGGCAGAGACTACCAATGGGAGGTGTGGGGATGAAGTACAGTGGGTGCCATTGCTGACCTTTCCTTCAGGAAATACTAGGTCCCGACTGTCATGCTGATCCAATGGCTTCATTAGGGCCCATTCAGAGCCATGCATAGAAGTAATACATGCCATATGCACATTCTGCTCTATGTTGTGGTGTAATTCATTTAGAATAGCGCCTAATGTACAACTAGAATATAGGGACTTTCCTGATTGGCATGCTTGTTCCAAATCAACATATCAATGTACTGAAGCCAGAAAGAGCCAGTCAGCTTGCATTTTGCTGCCACAGCAGGTTCCCTTTACCACCGTATGCTTCATTCTGTCACCTACAAATCGTCTCTGGGTGGAAGATGACAACCTGAGCCCACGGACGGGAAATGAAGGGGCGTTTCAGCATTTCCTGAGAGTAGATTGCATTTCCTAAACCACAAACCTGTCTGAATGACTGCAAGTTGCCTTCAGCCTCTTCCTTCTGAATCATTTCATCTTGAAGCCTGAAATCAGCAAAATAAAAAAAAAGATGGCGGTTAGTTCTCCTCGTACTACTGAGCTGAACGCAGATAACAGCAAGACATGACCGCAAGATAAGGCAGCAAAGCAAGATGAGACCATCCGAGGAACAGAGATCTGGACTGTTACTGTTGCCTGCAGCCACCGACCATATTCCAGATCTCAGTGTCACATACTATGCTGAATTGGGTTGCTATGGGCTCAATGGACTACTGGTGTGGTGACCACTGGCAGAACTACCAGGGTCACAGCAGTCACATGTGCGACTATGCCCTGGAATTCCTCCACTTGGGGGGGGTGGGGCCTGGAAAGGAAGAAGAGGGCCCGGCCCAGGTAACCGCCAAGGCACCAACATTGCCTCCTGGGACTTCACACATGCACTACCCCAGTAACTGCTGAGGCCCCGTCATTTTGTCATGGGGGTGTGGGGCCCTTTGTGGTTTCTTGCACCGGGGCCCTGAGGTTTCTTGTTACGCCTCTGGTGGTGACCTCACTTGTGTGGTGGTAGATGGGACTTGCAGTCTCTCCATTCACAGATCTTGTGAAAGGATCTGTGAATGGATAACGCTAAGCGGACAGAGCCACACACAGCCCCGCTAATCTCAAAAGATGTTTGCATGCTGCGGGGAGAACAAACCCCAGGATTCGGGTGAGCAGGGGGCCAGTTGAGGGCTGGGGATGTGACCATGTTTCATGTATAACCCTGAATAGGGGTGTAACATGAAACTTGGTCAGAAAGATGGAGTCACTCAACAGGAAATTAGCTTTAACAAACCCTCACTGACCTCTGTAGCTGCAGGCACTGTGGAGCAATTGATTCTCATAATTCACAGAAGCTGTGAAATCATTCAAGTCATCCCCTCGGTGGCTCAGCGCAACCTATTCTCCCCTCCCAGAGCTCCTGATTTGCATTTACATTAGATGTTAGAAGCATAGAAGGCTGCCAGCTATTCGCTGCCGAGACGGGGGAGCAGGTTGAGCTGAGTTCCTGAGAGAATGACTTGAGCAACTTGATTGCTTCTGTGTGGATCGTGAGCAACAAACACTATGTCCAAATGATAAAAACATACACCTAATACAGACATAAAAAAGGAAGACTGTGGTGTCCTCTCTCCCCAACTCCAGCCTGCTGAATGAACAATGAAAGAGCAGCCACAGGCTGATGAGGTCATCTGTCTGCTCACTCTGCTCGCGCCTTCTATCTGCATGTTCCTAATTAGAACATTTGCATGCAATATGCCTAATTGGCTCCCAGCCATGCCCCTCCCTCTTCCAGTCTGCTGAATAGTACTAATACCAAATTCAGGTACATATAATAGTTACATGTAAAAGATACATTTAATGATTTATGAATGAATACCTAGCTGCATTAATTGGTGTCTTTTATATCTGCTTGGAGCCCAGCTTGCCTGGAGCTGAAGTAGCCATAGCGGCAATACCAGAAAGTCAGATATTACTTCAGTAAACTGTAATAGTATAAGAATGACGTCTTACAAGGTGGACTATAAATATATTGTGGGAGGAATTTATCATAACTGAAGCAGACAGAATCTGGAGCAGTTGCCCATGGCAACCAATCAGCTTCTCTGTTCAGTTTTTTTCAGTTAAGCTTTGAAAAGGAAAGATAGAAGCTTATTGGTTGCCGTGGGCAACTGCTCCAGATTCTGTCTACTCCAGTTTTAATAAATTCCCCTCTACGCTTTGTATCAAATACTTCCTAAAATGTGTGGAAACATAAATGTGTTTGAAATAATTATAATAAATTTACTATAGAGCAAAAAGAATAAAAGTGATGCATCCCTCTAAAACAAAACCAAAAAAAATTAAAAATTGCGCCAGAGGTAATTAATTCCAGCGCACTTACTACCTGATCCCTGGTATTTGTCCAGCCGTGGCCTAGCATTAGTACAGATTACATGCTCAAGAGTTTTCCAACTCCCAACGCCTGTGCGCACGCCACATCACAGTCAGAGTTCCATTTGAATGGGCTGCCACACCCATCCAGACACAGAGAGAGATACCAGACGGTCTGGTAGCCAAAATGTTGGCCGGTGGTATGACCAGCACCTCTGGCTGCCCTCTCCGTCTCTCTTCCAATCCCTGCCCTTCTATTATCTTGCATGGCTGGACGTTTTCATCCTTTTTTTGCTGGAGCAGCAATCTAAACACTGGTGGATAAGCTGTCCCCTTGTTCCCAGCCAGAAATAATAACCCTAGTGATCTCCAGTAGGCTGACCTACATAGCTCTTTGGCAAAGAATTTTCCCCATTTCTTTTTTTTATTTGTTATGTGGGTTCAGTTAGATACTTCTCTAAAATGGATACAGAAGTTTCAACATCACTAAAGAATCAAAAACTTTTGCATAACAGGAAACAACATTTCATTTTTTTTCTAAACGTACAGCAGAGGATTTATAAAGTAACCAAGCTGAACACTAGCAGAACTTTCATGAAGGCATTGGGGAGTGTTGCTGCAGATAACTTATGGCTGATAAACACATTTTATATGTACCAGAGTATTTGGCACCAGTACAGTACTTTTTGGGACAAGAGGGTTAGAAACTATTTTTTAACCTAATTAAAGACTAAAAGCTCATACATTGGTCTTACCTAAGCCATCAATAATATGATATGATTGATTCTCTGTGCAGAGGGCTTCACTACAGCCAATTAGAATTAATCTTTCTTTGTTCTTAGTGCTCCCAATGCTCATAATTGAAACTCTTCTTTGGCTGCTATTGGTTACTACATCCCTTTGCTCTTTGAGTTCTCCAGTGCTCTTATTTACTACACCCCTTTGCTGTTTGAGTAATTGGGTGCTCTTATTTACTACACCCCTTTGCTGTTTGAGTCATTGGGTGCTCTTATTTACTACACCCCTTTGCTGTTTGAGTAATTGGGTACTCTTACTTACTACACCCCTTTGCTCTTTGAGTTCTTGGGTACTCTTAGTTACTACACCCCTTTGCTCTTTGCGTTCTCCAGTGCTCTTAGTTACTACACCCTTTTGTTCTTTTGAGTTATTGGCTGCTATTGGTTACTACACACCTACGCTCTTTGAGTTTGTGGTTGCCTTTGGTTACTACAACCCTTTGCTCTTTGAGTTCTTGGCTACTCTTAGTTACTACACCCCTTTGCTCTTTGAGTTCTTCAGTGCTCTTAGTTAGTACACCCCTTTGCTCTTTGCGTTCTCCAGTGCTCTTAGTTGCTACACCCTTTTGTTCTTTTGAGTTATTGGCTGCTATTGGCTACTACACCCCTATGCTCTTTGAGTTTGTGGTTGCTTCTGGTTACTACAACCCTTTTCTCTTTGAGTTCTTGGGTGCTTTTAGTTACTACACCCCTTTCCTCTTTGAGTTCTTGGGTGCCCTTAGTTACTATACCCCTTTGCTCTTTAGCAGCGTCCGTTAACTCGACTATAACTTTGTGGCCACTTTTTCAGTTCAAGTCTTCTGTGCACACTTATAGTTCTCTGTTGCAACATTAATTAACACTCTCATGGCATGGGTCATTGTCATTACAGTCATTAAGGGGTTAAATGATCAATCCACCCAAGTAAGACATTTCAGTTTTGCCTATAGGGTTGCAGTGGTGGGCATGTGGTCAACGTGGACTCTGGATCCCCATTTCTGAGGAACTATAAAGTGATCCAACTCATCACCCTCCACCCATAACATTCTCATTGCAGGGGTCATTGTGTGAAGGTGTATAACAGTCATGAAGGGGTTAAATGATCAATCCACCCATGCAGGACATTTCAGTTTTGGTTATAGGGTTGCAGTAGATGGGTGTGGTCAACATGGAACTTTACCAAAACGATCTGGACTCTGGATCCCTCTTATGAAGAATCAGTGATCCAACCCATCACCCTCCACCCATAAATAAAATACTACATTACAGTGGAATTTCATTCTTAATTTCAGAAGCTTTGTACTTACCTTTCTCTGAGTCGCTGGAGGTCATCATTCATGTTGTCCCTGTCCACTTCAACTCTGGCTTTCTCGTTGGTGAGGAGGTCCACTTGCCTGCGAAGGTCCCTCATCTCTTCTTCATACAGATCCCCGACCCTGGAGGTGCCCTTGCCCTTCAGCTGGTCCAGCTCAGCCAACAAGATCTTGTTCTGCTGCTCCAAGAAGCGGACCTTGTCAATGAAGTTGGCGAACCTGTCGTTGAGCTCCTGCATCTCAGCCTTCTCGTTGGTCCTGTTGGCTTTGAACTCGAGGTTGATGGCATCTGCCAGGGTGAAGTCTACGGAGTCATGCATCCTGGCTGGGGGAAGGCTGCTCCTCAGCCTGGCCGAGGAGGACTTGTAGATCGCTGGGGAGGAGGAGGTGAAGGACACCCTGCTGCTGGACAGACCGCCGCCGCCGCCACCACCACCGGAGCGCAGGGCGCTGCCCAAGGAGTACCTGTTGCTGGAGGTGACATAGCGGCTGCCGGAGGAGCTGGATCTGGGGTTACCCCCAAACAGCCTCTTGTAGGATGAAGACTTCACAGACATGTTTGTTAGCGGTGCTGTAGGATATTCTTGTAGCTGGAACGGTGCCCTTGTGCAGACCAGGCAGTGCTATAGCAGGAGAGAGGACTGGCATCCACAGTGGTTTATATACCCGGGTAGATAACGGTGCTGAAGGTGACCAATCCAACCACTGACATCGGAGGACCATCACTAATTCACCGCCAATAGGAAAGCGCAAGGCTTGGCCGCTCCCCTCCAGCTCTGAGCTCAGCATCCAAATTGCCTTTTTGGCAGCACAAGAAAACTTTTTGCAGCTGCTTCACTCTTCTGTCTGGTTTTGCACACAGAAACTTCCATGACTTACTACAAACCCCAAAAGTCTAATATGATTTTCCTGTTACTCCTGGCAATGAAGGAGCCTTTGCAGAGATGATCAGCCCATGACACTCTGCTCAAATATCATTTTCTTATTATCTTACCATGAGAAAAGTCACAAGATATGTGTTATCCTCTAAGGAGGGGAAGTGTGGCTTTCAGCCTGCAGAGGAGATATAAAATTGAGTTGGAGCTTAAAGTTCTACCCAGCTTTTTGTTTGGCAAAAGTTATATGGCAAATATTATTTCAGTGACAAAATGTTTGGACCACATATTGTGCCATTAACCTGAGCATCTTTGTAGCCAAAGTAATATTGGATTTAGGATTGTGGCTATGGGGTTGGTCTCTAAAAACTAGAGTTCTTTTGGCCATACAATCTTCATATGAGTAACAATTCGATCCAACTGATTTGATCAGTCGGATGTCCGGATTGATTATTTATTTATTACAGGTAGTTATATAGCGCCGACAATTTACGTAGCGCTTTACACAGTGCACATTCACATCAGTCGCTGCTCTCAAGCAATTTACAATCAAAGGTCCCTATCTCACATGCATACATATGAGGGCCAATTAAAGGTGCCCATACACTGCACGATTCTCGTACAAGAATCACGGGAAATCCCGCGATTGTACGAGAATCGTGCAGTGTGAATGAAGACGTGCGACAGTTTCTACTGTACGATCGCACGTCTTTTGTCTAAAGGTGCCCATACACTGCACGATTCTCGTACGAGAATCACGGGAAATCCCGCGATCGTACGAGAATCGTGCAGTGTGAATGAAGACGTGCGACCGTTTCTACTGTACGGTCGCACGTCTTTTGTCTAAGGAGCATGCTAGAAAACCAGCCGAGAATCGTACGATTTTCGGCTGGTTTTTAGCATGATCGTAAGATCAATGCCGCACGGGCCGGTGTGCGCACACTGGCCTCAGGGGGGTGGTCTTGTGATGATCGCAAGTACGATCTGCCTGTCCAAGATGGGCAGATCGTACGTTTTTAAAATTATTTTACAACTATTGCAAGACTAAGATCTTGCGATGGTTGTAAAGTGTATGGCCACCTTTAGACTGGAGCTAATTAACTAGCAATTAATTAATTCAATTAATTAATTAATTAGCAGGTTTTTAGAATGTGGGAGGAAACCGGAGTATCCAGAGGAAATCCACACAAGCACAACATGCAAGCTCCTTGTAGATAGTGACCTGGCCAGGATTCGGACCAGGGACCCCCAGTGCTCCAAGGCAGACGTGCTATCTTCCCCTAGTCCAGATGGAATGATTGTGTGCAGCACAACTGGCTATACATTGGTCGAATTACAGCGCAGTCCTGCTGATTTGGACGAAATTTGATGAGTGTGTGGCCCAATCGGCACCTCTGGATTTGACAGTCGATTTTTAAAATTTACTTTTGTCGAAAAAGTTGGTCTGAAAATCATGGTCCTAACAGAGACTGCAGCCAATAAGTCGGGCTATGATTGACTAAGCTCATTGGTAGCAGTTGATTAACTGCATGCTGCAACTACAAACTCTATTCAATGCCAATGACTGGATGAGGAGCTGGATATGCGTGAGAAGCTGTTGTAGGTTATTAGGCACCAAACAGCCTGAAAATGTTTAGGTGCCAGTAAGGTATGTATTTAGAGTGTCATGGGCTTCGTCACTTGTGGTTCTAAAGGTGCCCATACACTGTACGATTCTCGTACGAGAATCGCGGGAAATTCCGCGATCGTACGAGAATCGTACAGTGTATGGAAGGCGTGGAACCGTTTCTACTGTACGGTCACACGTCTTCCGTCGAACAAGCAGGCTTGAAAACCCGCCTAGAATCATACGATTCTCGGCGGGTTAGTGGCCTGCTTGTTCGACAACTGCCGAACGGGCCGGTGTGAGCACGCGCACACTGCCCGTTTGCAGTAATCTTTCCTATATGTTGGACTGGATATTGATACTTTTGGAGTACTGTTGAAGTATCAGCATACACCAGCCTTTCTCATTGTATTTACCGTAGAAGAACCCCTGAAAAAAATTCAGGTCCAGGGGAACCCCTGCTAAAAATTAAAAGAGGGGTCAATGGGAAAAATGCAACAAATATTGTTGGTCAGTGGGAAGAATGTCCCTTACGGTGGTAGTCAAAATGCCACCCCTACAGACAGCAAAAAAGATCATTGGTATCATACAGTTGGTTCTTCCAAGTGGCATTGACCCCAAAACTTTGCAGGCACCATCAAATGGGAGGTCAATCAGCCACAGCTTAATGAACACTTAGGAGCCTGTGGAGGAATCCTGGGGTTCCTTGGAACCCTGGTTGAGAATAGCTGGCATACACTGGAACCATTGAAAGCACTCTAAAAATTGTGGCTCCTCAAAGGTTAGGTTGGTGACTAGAATGCAGATATGGGGGTTCATTTTCCACTTTTTGCTTAAAATTAAAAATGTTGCTTAAAAATTAAAATTAAATGAACAGCACTACAATTTGAGATCCAATACAGATCCAAAGCTTTGCAATGAACTCATGCATACTGAGACATGCAGCTAAAGTTTTCACACTTCCATTGTGCGTAAAAAGATTTACACTGTCTCCCTCCAAGACGACTGTGATGAGGTCATCGTCACAGTCCCAGTGTGCATTACCATGGCAACATTACAGAACAAGACAAAGTTTCCTCTTTGAGATGAATAAGTTTGCCCACACCTAGTGACATCCACTGTGACTGTGTGTCATGCTACAAACTTTCTAAAGTACATCATTTTTCTGCATCTGTGTAATTCCTAAATTCAGAGGGCTTAACTCTAAATTGTGTAGGGGATGGATGTTAGAATCCAAGCAATATCCTGTCCTGAAACTCTAGACAAAGGATCCACAGGGAAACCGCTAGACTCAGTGTGGGAAGGGTTTGGGAGGTGCAGCAGGGACCAGGCAACTGGCCCAGCCCATGTGTGAGGCTCCCTTACCTCAGCCCATCCTCCATGCATCCCAATTCACCCTCCCCCTCCTTAATCCATTCTTTCTCTTTACAGTCCATCCTCCTCCATCCATGCCAATTCGCCCTCCCTCCTGCTCAACCCAACCTCTCTACTTCCAATCCATACTCCTCAATCCATCCTCCATCCTTCCCAATTGACCCACCCTCCTCCTCACTCCATCCCCCTCCCTGCCAAACCATTCTTTCTTTCACATAAGAATGTCATTACATGTAATCCGCATGTGCACCCATGGCTGGAACAAAACAAAAAAAAAACCCACATGGTTTATGACTTTGAGCAAGCAGGCAACAGATGAAAAGTTTTCTTAGTAAAAGCGTTATCAGCAGGAAACAGAGAGAAGCATGTAAGCGTTTCATTACTTTTTATATACAGAAAAATTCATTATTTTTTTTTTCAAAAACATTTTATTGAGTTGACAATTTCAAGGAATGTTTACAACATGTTTTGCATGGCATCATCAACAGTTTTCCATTTTTCTTTTTTCCAACAACTTCGCATATACATAATCCTGCTGGATCTATTGAACATTGCATATCCTATCCTAAGGTACATTTTGTAGTGCGACCCCGTGGTAGGGTTTATACTGCGTGGTATCTCCATCATTGTATTTAATAGAGGAGTGTTCTAGGGTGGTTCGGGCAAGAGCAAGTGGCCCATCTTGGCGCCCACTCGCTCTCCCTCCCCCCTTTTCTTTGCTGTACTGTCTTCCCCTCCATCCTTCTCTATATCTTACGGTGCTTTCCCCTAAGGAACATCTACCGCTTGGTCGCCACCTAACTTATCCAAGGAGACAATGAGACAGTCAACTAGTTTCTATTTGAACATTTTACCTAGATTCATTGTTATCATCATAAACTCACCGACTTCCTCAGCTTCTCCTCTCCCTGGGCGCCCCATATGTTCCTCTGGCATCCTCTCCACTTGATCACTCCATTCCAGCAGATCACCACTCAGTCGAATATTTTCCATACATTTTTACTCGTACTGAGCCTGCCCATTCCCTCAGAGTGGGCTCACTTTATTACCTTCTTCCCTAGCCCCTGGAAAAATTCATTATTGAAGGGGATCTAGCATCAGACAGATTTCTCATGTTAAAGCAGAACTCCAGGAATGATATCTATTGGAAACCTACATTGGTCCAGCATGGCTTGATATAAGTATCTAATATCTGGAAGGATGCTTTAGTATACTGTAGTATTCTTTGCTCTATACAGTGATAGCGGTGACCTTCTGGGTGCTGCTCCACCAGGTTCACTTTTGCACACTAAATACAGGGAGTCACTTGGCACCTCCACTATTTAGGGGAACACCTTGCATTGTTTTCATTAAATACATTGGGGAGAATGTATCAAAACTGGAGCAAACTGAATCTGGAGCAGTTGCCCATGGCAACCAATCAACATCTCTTTTCAGTTTGACCAGGTAAGATTTGAGAATGAGACAGAGAAGCTGATTGGCTGCAGTGCAAATCTGCTCCAGATTTTGTCTGCTCCAGTTTTTATAAATTCCCCCCAAGGCTTTTTATGAATGGACAAGGTGGAGAGGAGGGGCAGATGACATAACAATCTCCAACTCGTCCAATGTCAGATTGCCCTGTATTCATTGAAAAAACTACAAGGCATTCTCTGAATGGCGGCAGTGCCAAACGAGTGACTACCTGTGTTCAGTGTGCAGAAGTGCCTGAAGCCACAACTGGAAAATCCTGACTATCATTGTATGTAGTACAGCATCCCCGGCAGCTTTCCATGGATCCGATATAGATATACATTTCCAAA